ATTTCGCTTTTGGCTGCCGCTGCCGCCTTGTCTCCCAAGCTTGTCTCTTCATGATTTCGCTTTTGGCTGCCGCTGCCGCCAAGCTTGTCTCCCTTCATGATTTTGCTCTTGGCTGCCGCTGCCGCCTTGTCTCCCATGCTTGTCTCCCTTCATAATTTTTCTTTTGGCTGCCGCCGCCGTCTTGTCTCCCAAGCTTGTCTCCCTTCATGATTTCGGTCTTGGCTGCCGCTGCCGCCTTGTGTCCCAAGCTTGTCTCCCTTCATGATTTCGCTTTTGGCTGCCGCTGCCGCCTTGCCTCCCGAGCTTGTCTCCCTTCATGATTTCGCCTTCGGCTGCCGCTGCTGTCTTGTCTGTGAAGCTTGGCTCCCTTCAGGATTTCGCTCTTGGCTGCCGCTGCCAGCTCATCTCCCAAGCTTGTCTCCCTTCATGATTTTGCTCTTGGCTGCCGCTGCCGCCTTGTCTCCCAAGCTTGTCTCCCTTCATGATTTCGCTTTTGGCTGCCGCTGCCGCCTTGTCCCCCAAGCTTGTCTCCCTTCATGATTTCGCTTTTGGCCGCCGCGGCTGCCTTGTCTGTGAAGCTTGTCTCCCTTCATGATTTCGCTCTTGGCTGCCGCTGCCGCCTTGTCTGTGAAGCTTGTCTTCCTTCATGATTTCGCTCTTGGCTGCCGAAGCCGGCTTGTCTTCCAAGCTTAGCTTGTCTCCCTTCATGATTTCGCTTTTGGCTGCCGCTGCCGCCTTGTCTCCCAAGCTTGTCTCCCTCCATGATATTGCCTTTGGCTGCCGCTGCCGCCCTGTCTCCCAAGCTTGTCTCCTTTCATGACTTCGCTCTTGGCTGCCGCTGCCGCCTTGTCTCCCTTCATGATTTCGCTTTTGGCTGCCGCTGCCGCCTTGTCTGTGAAGCTTGTCTCCCTTCATGATTTCGCTTTTGGCTGCCGCTGCCGCCTTGACTCCTAAGCTTGTCTCCCTTCATGATTTCGCTCTTGGCTGCCGCTGCCGCCTTGTCTCCCAAGCTTGTCTCCCTTCATGATTTCGCTTTTGGCTGCCGCTGCTGCCTTGACTCCTAAGCTCGTCTCCCTTCATGATTTCGCTTTTGGCTGCCGCTGCCGCCTTGTCTCCCAAGCTTGTCTCCCTGCATGATTTCGCTCTTGGCTGCCTCTGCCGGCTTGTCTTCCAAGCTTGTCTCCCTTCATGATTTCGCTCTTAGCTGCCGCTGCCGCCTTGTCTCCCATGCTTGTCTCCCTTCATAATTTTTCTTTTGGCTGCCGCCGCCGTCTTGTCTCCCAAGCTTGTCTCCCTTCATGATTTCACTCTTGGCTGCCGCTGCCGCCTTGTCTCCCAAGCTTGTCTCCCTTCATGATTTCGCTTTTGGCTGCCGCTGCCGCCTTGCCTCCCAAGCTTGTCTCCCTTCATGATTTCGCCTTCGGCTGCCGCTGCTGTCTTGTCTGTGAAGCTTGGCTCCCTTCAGGATTTCGCTCTTGGCTGCCGCTGCCAGCTCATCTTCCAAGCTTGTCTCCCTTCATGATTTTGCTCTTGGCTGCCGCTGCCGCCTTGTCTCCCAAGCTTGTCTCCCTTCATGATTTCGCTTTTGGCTGCCGCTGCCGCCTTGTCTGTGAAGCTTGTCTCCCTTCATGATTTCGCTTTTGGCCGCCGCTGCCGCCTTGACTCCTAAGCTTGTCTCCCTTCATGATTTCGTTCTTTGCTGCCGCTGCCGGCTTGTCTCCCAAGCTTGTCTCCCTTCATGATTTCGCTTTTGGCTGCCGCTGCCGCCTTGACCCCTAAGCTTGTCTCCCTTCATGATTTCGCTTTTGGCTGCCGCTGCCGCCTTGTCTCCCAAGCTTGTCTCCCTCCACGATTTCGCTCTTGGCTGCCTCTGCCGGCTTGTCTTCCAAGCTTGTCTCCCTTCATGATTTCGCTCTTGGCTGCCGCTGCCGCCTTGTCTCCCAAGCTTGTCTCCCTTCATGATTTTTCTTTTGGCTGCCGCCACCGTCTTGTCTCCCAAGCTTGTCTCCCTTCATGATTTCGCTTTTGGCTGCCGCTGCCGCCCTGTCTCCCAAGCTTGTCTCCCTTCCTGATTTCGCTCTTGGCTGCCGCTGCCGCCTTGTCTCCCAAGCTTGTCTGCCTTCATGATTTGGCTTTTGGCTGCCGCTGCCGCCTTGTCTCTCAAGCTTGTCTCCCTTCATGATTTCTCTCTTGGCTGCCACTGCCGTCTTGTTTCTCAAGCTTGTCTCCCTTCGTAACTTCGCTCTTGGCCGCCGCTGCCGCCTGGTCTCCCAAGCCTGTCTCTTCATGATTTCGCTCTTGGCTGCCGCTGCCGCCGTGGTTCCCAAGCTTGTCTCTGTTCCTGATTTCGCTCTTGGCTGCCGCTGCCGCCTTGTCATTTTCTTGCCTGCCTTTGACGCGGATGCTGTTATAAGATGATTTAGGTCTTGTTTACCTTTTCCATCCTTTTCCCGGCTTTGAGTGGGATGTCTTCCAAGCTTGTCTCCCGCTCTTGCCATGCTATCCTTTTCTTGAAGTGCTATCTGGCGTCTATGCCGGTATAATTAAACACCCCTTAGAGTCCTTGCCCTCCAGGTAGGATGCGGCCCATTGCCTGGTCCACACCAGCTGCCACATCTGCAGGCACATGGTCGGCTTTTGATGCCATTTTGCAGTGCTACCTACAGCTTGCTTGAGGCTCGATCCTTGCGCTGCAGTTTGCATGACTATCCAGCCATTAGACAAGCCATTAAGCAAACACAGCTGTGGCTATCCAGCCATACAATTTACATTAATGGCTATCCAGCCATGAGACAGCCATACAATTTATATTGATGGCTATCCAGCCATGAGACAAACAAAGCAAACACAGCTTTGGCTCTCCAGCCATACTATTTACATTAATGGCTACCCAGCCATGACACAAGCAAAGCAAACCAATTTTGAAGTCAATAGAACCACAATTGAAATCACCATTGAAAATCAATAGAAATCACATCTAAAATCAATAGAACTACCTTTGAAATCACCATTGAAAACCCAAACAAATCTCATCTATATAAAATCAATAGAAATCATTCTTAAAAATCAATACCACAGCCACTCGGACAGTACAACTGGCATTCAACCAAACTCTCCGATCAACGCTTTCCGGACTTTCTGGTCAGCGCCTGTTCCTGATAAGAGTACCAAATCAGACCCAACCTTGGGTAATACGTTGCGAGGGGATAACCTTGGTACTGCCATCATGACCCGTATTCCGTCTCGAGTTACTCGTCACGCATTTCCTCCGGGCGTCTGGGACACTTGCCGATTGAATAGCGTGGTTGTATCCACAGGGATCATTGACATTTTGGTTGTATCTACTTATTTCCAGACTGGAAAATTTGCTGAAGCCAGAATTGTTAACAATCAATTACTTCAAGATATCTTGTTACATGTTTTACCAACCGATTTACCGTTTGTCATTCAAGGTAATTTTAACACAGATGTTCGCAAATTAGACGCCTGTTCCACATTTTCCCAGTTGGGCTGTCAGGAAATGTTTGAATTTAACCGCAGTGCATTTGGCTTTGAGCTCCCACCAACATGCAAGGGAGCCACCAGATTTGATTCCACGATCATCCATCCCCTATTGCTCAAATACATTCGACGCATTGATATCGGCCCCGAGCATCAGTTTGCAGATCATTGTGTTGCACAGGTTAAGGTTCAATTCTTCATTCCCACACGTACTCCAGATACCTACTCCTGGTATGCGCCGAAATCATGGACCTTGTTCCCGGTGAAGCCGGCTTTTTTCGATGCACAGTACTGTCGATTGAGATCCCAGTCGAGTCCTCACTGGTCTACAGATCCGGCCAGACGTCTTTTCCAGTGGTCCACTCGAGTTGAAAGCGCCGTTGATCATGCCCTTCGTCAGCACAAACAAGCAGACCCAATGTCCGCAGGGTTTCCTGCCCAAAACATTCCGGGGCAGATGCACGACCCCAAAGCAGATTCGTAACATACCTTCGAAATCTCCAAAAAGAGATGTGGCCGGTCATTATGACCATCCCACCGAAGTTACTTCCCTTAAAAGCCGCCAAAAAAGTCAGACAGGCTCGATGCCTTCGCTGTCTCGAAAAACTCTATTAAAAATACCACCTTGAGGATATTCCGCAGGACCGATGGCAGACTCTACCACAATTTCCTGACTTGACCCTCCACTGGCAAGCTATCCGGATGGCGAACGGCTACGGCCATTCCTGGGTCCATTGGCTCTTGCAGTTTGAATCCATCTCCTCTGTCACCATTGATCTTCCGACTTTGATCTACTTTACTGTACCCGACAAATCATGCAATATGATGCAGATTTGCACTGGGACCAAGAAACCAAACTTCGCCGTCTATCTCATATGCATGGACTCGAGCTTGATATTCAATATGGGTCTAGTTCTCAGTTTTACAAACGCCTTAAGGCCCATGAAGTCAAAGTTTTACCAGGATTTCCAGTCCAAACTCATGCCCAAGCGTCATTACGTCGAACATCCAAGGGGCCCATTTCCCTGCTGATACATCAACCGGTCCATTTTCGCCTATTTGCCGCCGCTCGCTTTGGTGACGCTCTCGTTCGTATTATGGCACAGCAGATAATAATCTCCAATGCCAGGTTTTGCAGGGCATTGTTCCTTCACATGGTGACCTTGTCCAAGAAGTGTATGCTTTTGAGCTTCGAGAAATGGCTGGTCCGTTCGCGGATTATTGGTCCCAATTCTGGAATCGAGATACCCCTACGGAAGAAGAATCAGATTCTTCTTGGGATGACCTCTTACAGTCCCTGCGTACACGTATTCCACCTTGTGCTCCTTTGCAGGTCCAATGGGACAACCCTCAGATTCTCGCCCAAACGATACGGCGGCTGAAACCCTTCAAAGCCGTTGGCATTGATGGCTGGAGAGCTGAAGAGCTCCAATCTCTTCCTGAATCAGCAATTAATTTTAGATTTGGCCCAAGCCTTTAATGTACTGTGGCCTCAAGGTCTCTCCGCACACCAGTTAATCGCTAGAGTTATTCTTTTGGCCAAAAGGAATCCTCCAACCGCCATTACGGACGGGCGTCCTATCACTATCCTTGGATACATAAGTCGCCTAACGTCCAAACTCATAGCTGACCAACTTCTCAGTCAGTGGGCCTCCACGTGGCCGAGTGCCATCTCCGGTGGACTGCCTTTTCGCGGGGTTCAAGACATTACATTTATGCAACAATTTCAGATCGAGTCGGCAAAGAAACGCTCCCTGCCGTGGCGAGGTTTTACATTAGATCTCATTAAAGCTTTCAACCTCCTACCGTGCAGAGTTCTGTATCACCTTCTAATCCACCACGGGGCCCCACCCGACTCGATTCGATTTTGGTTCGTTAATCTCAGAAACATGACCCGACGTCTTCAGGTTCGTAATGCAGTCGGTCCAGCTATTACTATGACTACCGGAGCCCCCCGAAGGAGACAGCTTATCCGTCTGCGCCATGCTAGTGGTATCGTCAGCCTTTTTTTGGACGCTTCAGTCCCCTCGAGTCCATCCTTTTGCATACGCCGATAACTGGTCGTACCTTACCGCCAGCCAACGTGACAACATCCAAGCATTTCATAAGATTCAACACCTGGTCGAAGCTTTGCGCATGCAAATTGATTTCGCAAAATCGTGGGCTTGGGGGGCAACAGCTGACGCACGTCAAGACTGGAAAGATTTTCTACATCATGATTTCCCCCAGCGCAACCAAGTCCCTATTCTCAACTCGACCAAAGATCTTGGCTGTATGACTCACTATTCACTCTCGGTCAGCTTAAAACCAAGATTAATAGTGCAGTCCAACGCTGCAAACGCATTCGATGGTTTCAGACAGATATCTCCCAGAAGGCTCGTTTTATCCAAACAGCCATTTGGCCACATGCTTTCTTCGGAGCTGAGACCCAAGTTGTAGGAGAAAAACACTTTCGAATCCGCCGCAGGCAAAGCGGCCAATGCATTAATTGGACCGGAGTCCCAAATCTCGAGTTGGCTCGCCGTGCATATGTTTAGTCCTCAACTCCAGGACCCACTGTTATATGTGATTTCGACCGCACTGACATTCTTGCGCAGACTGTTTCATACCCACCCTACCCTGGCCCATGAATATCTGCACGCGGTTGTCCAACACACAGGCCCGGCAGTTGGCCCTGCTGGTGCTTTAGCCCGCTAACCTTGTTGGTTGGTCTCTCAGTGTGGATGGACGTTTAACTCTCGATGGGTACCTCTCTGTCTCGCTTCGGTTCGATGCCTTAAAACAAATTCGTCAGACTCTCCGACAAGCCTGGGCCTATTACCTGCATCGACAAATTTGCCATCGCAAAGGTGTCCCTTTGCATCCTTTCGACTTCATGATCCTTTCCCGGGAAATCTATGTCTCGCACAGCCATTCGCCGAGTCGCATATAATCTTACTGCGGGTTACCAGGTCGGAGCCGTTAAAGCCTTGTGGACATCTACGGCTGACTCTTGCTGTTCCTTCTGCGGCCAAGTGGATACACGCACACACACCAGCAGTTGGAGTGTCCAGCATTTTTGCATATTCGGCGACGTCACCCCCAGGCCATAACATATTTAACCAGACAACCACACAAGGTGTGGATGCCACTGCCTGTTTCGTTTCCAGACATGGCTATGTTGCGCCAATTAGTTGCTTGTCGAGGTCAGCCTACTGACTACACGTCCATTCACCTAGACAATAATGTGGTCTTTTTCATTCTTTTTCTATACCGATGGATCCGCTGATACACCGCTTCAACGTGAAACTAGGCGGGCTGCATGGTCCGTAATCCAATTTCGACCTGAATCCATGACTGCCCCCTATTTGACTATAAGAATCCAGCATGTACAAGGAGCGCAGTCGATCGCTCGAGCTGAACTTGCAGCCATTACCTGGATTATCCAGCATGCATCCATTCATCAATGGTCCCAACAAATCGTCATTACCACGGATTTCCAATATGCCATTGGTGTCATCCATCAAGTTACAAGGCCTGAATTTTTCCCCTCTTGGCATCAGTCAGCCAATGCTGACCTGTTACAGATCATTGCCGACTGTTGGTCCCCGACTCAGTTCCTACTCCGTAAGGTCCGTTCCCACCAAGATCTTGACTCACTACCTCCTGGTCTCGACCAAGATGACACCATGGGTAATTCGTGGGCTGATCATGCCGCAGTGCGTGCTCGTCTTACCGATCATCCTGTCGTTGATGAACTTGTCAACAAAGCCAATATTTAGCACAGTGACCAATACAGGCAAACCAAGAGTATCCTAGCATACTTGGCCGATCTGAACCAGCAGCATGCCCAGTTAAAAACTCATGAGCATCACAAGTATAATTCCTCTGCCGCTCATGACGCCAGTTCCGATTGGGGTACAATCTTTCGCCTGCGCGAGACTTATCAGGCACCCCTCCCTTGTCAGATTTTCCAACCCGATATTCATCCAGCATTCTTGCTGCTTGCGTCTGGGGTAATCAATATGCAGATTTAGTCTTACAGTTTTGCGCTGCCCTTAAATGGCCCCCACCAGATGTTGTGCGTACGAACCCTCTCATTTTGGACGGCATCACCTGGCACGAATTAGCGTTGGCATTCATCATTAACACTGGGGTACAGTTCCCCACTTGGATTCGTCTCGCAGAGGATCGACGTGCGCAACCTGTCCACTGGCAAGACCCACGGGCGCTCGCACTACCCATCCATCGACGGTCACTCCGCGAACAAGCTGAAGCATTTCGCACCATCGTCTTATACCTTCAGGGGTACACAACTACGCCCCTCGTGCCTCAATATTCTAAAACGGGCTCTCTTAGCCTGACCAGGGTAGGATGGGGCCGCTCATACACAGGAGGATTTGCACTTCGTCCCGAAATGCCTAATTCCAAAGCCGTTCAGAAACGCTGATCCAGTATGCGGCAGATTTGCATCGCAAACCCCCTTATCACCCGGATGGCCTTGTGCCCATGCGGCACGTCACCCCATCGTTGGTCGCTGTTGATGCGATTCCTTTGGCATTTGACCAAGCTTTTCTCTATCCCCGCAACCTTCGAAAAACTTGGAATAAACATGGCAAACTAGATTCGGTTCCCATTCCGACCGTCCCTAATTAGAGAATTTACCACCCTTGATGCCTGTGTGCTGCGCGGATATTCGGTTTCACATAGCTAGACATCATTTTTGGTAGCTTTTTCTCACTCATTCGTCATTATCTTACAACAGGATATTGATCGTACTCCCGGATACCCGCCACAACGGCGAAGGGTCCTGGGAAGCGCCTCAGACTATGCGCAAGCAGTGTGAGTAGTACGGCCAGGAGCCCCTAGTAGCGTCCTTGCTCCTAGTAGTAAGGCCAAGAGCCCCTAGTAGCGTCCTTGCTCCTAGTAGGAAAACAGAAAGGGATGGAAACGGTCGAAAGGTCCAAAGCCAAAAAGAAAGGAAAAAGGTCAGCATCAATTCTCCTCGTTCATCCAATCTGCAGAAACCTGGGTTGCAGGGTTCACCGGAGTCAAGAAGAGTCGCGTGGGCTGCACCTGAAGATTCGCCAGAGCAGTGAAGGACTGAGTGACTGAAGTCCAGTCAGCTGCCTGGAGCAAATTCAACACCGGACAGTCATGACCGTGCCAAGGTCAAACGGGAAAAAGAAGGAAGAAACAACAAAGCCCGGCAAGAAAAAGAGGAATGGCGCTCAGACCCGCTCAAGCGACTTTTGACTTGATCAAGAGGTTGTTTTTGCGTGACATCTGTCGTGAGTCTTGGTGTGTTTGAGCTGGTGCGTAGGCACCAAAGGCTGCAAGTGGCAAATCATGTTCTTTATTGAAGGGTGTTGCAAGGGTAAAGAATTGGCGCAGTCTAATCAACAAGTGAATGTATCAGAGTCGCACTTTTGTGAACTCCAAGGTCTTGCTTCGGCATTTTTGGCTGCTGGTCCAGCAAGAGCACAGTAAATCCAGAGTAGATGGTGCAAATCCCAATGTTTTTTCTTTTTGTTTCGATGGACCCAATGCTTACCCATCCGTTGGTTTTGCGTCATCTATACAGTGATCTAGTGTGAACTTACGAAAAGTGAATGGGTTTGAGAGCCCTGCCAAGCGGAAAGAGTCACTCTCATGACTCTTCACTGGTCACTCTGCCGGCTTGTGAAATTACACGAGCTGGGTGTTCATGCAGGATGCAATCTTGAAATTTGCAGACCCTTTTAAACTGTTGAGCCAACTGTAGCAGCCTTGGCCTGCCAAACCCATTCTCATCGCCATGGCGGTTTCATTGACAAGGATGGTTGAGCCATGCCCTTGTCTGTCTCGTTGACAAGTCATTCATCGTTGAGCTGTTTTCTCGCCATGAACTGGAAACCAGTTTGTGCAAGCGAGGCATCGACCTGATTTGGGCAAAGACTCAGAAGAGACCCCCAAAATGTCGCTGGGCTTTGCCACCACGATTCATTAGCAAGACTGAGTTGCTTTCAGAGCTGTTCCCATCGTGTCATCGTGATCATTACGTGCCTTAAGAATTTCTACCACCCAAATCTGAAGCTTGAACGTCAGACAGGACGATGAAATTGCATGAATGAGCAGCTGTCCAGCTCAATTTCTGAATTACATAGCTCACTTCCTTCTTTCACGATTGCTTGTCTATCGTGGTCCGGTGGACGTTGGGACATTCCGGACATAGGCACAGGAACCCAACTCTTTCTCAAGCTGGTCATCCCAGCAAGCCCCAAGCTGCTCAGGCCACTTGGCACTCCAGCGCGCACCAACTGGGATCACGAAAGACAGGCCCCAGCGACCGATCGTGAGATCGGCTCCAGAGTCGCCATGGCAACGAAGCCGGAGGAGCTTGAGGCAGAGGCCCCCATCGTTTGTGTTATCATCATCCACGCCGTGGGTGTTTCCGTTTTTGGGTACGGCGTCGTCATCGTGCGGCAGGAGCGGTGTAGGCCTAGGCCACGTTCTCGTTGTCAGCTCTGCCTATGCTCTTGCTGTGGCATTTTGCGACTCGACTTGAGCTGGGGAACTTGGAGCCAGTTTACCGATGAGGGGGCGGGTAGCAGCTAACGGATGGATGCGAGACTCATTGAAGCTCAGGATTTTGATCTCCTTGGCAGAGTTCATACTGGCGGGCGTCGTGGCATGGCCAGATGGTTCAACGCAGCGAGCGCGCATGTGAGAGCCACGCCCCAGGTTGGCCTGGCGTTAGGGATGGGCTTATCTCCTGTGCTGCTTCTCCTTGCCGCTTTGTACGTGGCGACTTGGCGGCAATGCCAGCTCGCACCTTGCCATACAAACTGTCACAGAATAGAAGGATGGAGCACGACCCCCGGTAGGCCGTGTGTTTTTGTTGCTATTTCTTTTCGTTTTCGACCGTTTTGACATCTCAGACTGTAAATTGTTCTGGTGGGGTGGGGGGGGTGAGGGGTAGGTTCCCCCAGAAGTGGCAGTAGCTTTACTGGACCTGATCGAATACACCAAGTGAGGCCACGGAGATCGACGGTGTGCGAGCGGCAGCGATGCACACCTTTTCTATGGCTGCGGTTGCAGGTATTGGGCTTCAATAGTCTTGAGCCAAATGAATTAGGTCGATATCGGACTGAAGAGCTACATACAAGTCTATATACAAAGAACAGGTGCTACACACGTATAGCGTAGACACGCCTAGGGGACCTAGGGCACTACAAACACAAAACAGACACAAATTTTCTTCGTGTCGAAGCTTACGATCGTTAAAGTACAAAAGCTTGCAAGCGCAAAAGAATGCAAATGAATTACAAAAGTTCTGGCATCGGAGAACCAGACCGTAGATGCCATTCTGGCTCATCTAGGTTGCGTCAGATACACTATACAAATCTACGAAAGGCATTTTGTTGCATCGAAAGTTCCGGAATATTGGAAATTTTCTCAAGTCAATTTCAAGTCGTTTGATCTAAAGTCAAATTCTGTAAGGCCTTTATTTCTCTAATTCTGGGTCATTTCGTTCATGCATTTATTTAGCTCTATTGCAGTTCACCTTGAGCTCACTAGCCGGAATATCGGCTGTTTAGAGACTACCTACCAGTTCCGGTATCCTCGGCACCAGGTATTCCAAGAAGAGCCGGCGTTCCAAGATGAACTGGACTGCCACCATGAGCTAGAAGCGGCCGAGGACCATTGGTCCTGTTGGTACCAGGAAGAACTGGACCAGCCTGCTTGTCGATCTTGTCGATTCTGTCGGGATTGTTCCTTCAGGCGTTCAATCCGATCTGTATTTTTGTCGGCACGATGGATGGCAGATTGATGGCTACGAACTCTGATCTTGTGTCGGCTGGAGAGTGAAAAATTGCATTGGAATGGATGGTGGTATCCCTGGTCACTGCTCTTCAGACACAAATCAAGATGGTTTAGATGTTTAAGGAGTTCGTTGATGTCAAATTTCGCAAGTCAAGGCGGTTCAGTTCAAAAAAGAATCATAACTTTTAAGATGGTTGAACTTAAAACAAAAACCATAATCAATCCCAATTCCTGCTTCAGTGCAATCCTCGTGTCTTGGTCTTATGTCGCAGGGTGCATGGTGCTTCCAGAGCTTCCATATGGCTCCACTTTATTAACGGCCAATCTCAGTTTGACAAGTAGGCCAAAATTAAGAATGTATGCGACAGGTTTAAGTTTTAAGATAACCACAAAGACACACGAACAAACACACACATTATGTGTGTGAGCGCACATGTCATGCTGCCACCAGGTTCAATATACAAAGGGATGCCAACCGCGCCGAGCCAACCACTATCCAAACATCAAGTGTGTGAATCTGGCGAACATCCACAGATTTATGTCTAGTCAAGATTCTGTCAATCGCCCTTGCTTTCCACACAAAGGAATCATAACTGCGGACAGTGCCCACCCAAAAGTTATGATTCTTAAACATGCTATAGTTTCCCCAAAAAGAATCATAACTGGTGACACAGCCCACCTAAAAGTTTTGATTCCAAAACAGTGTTATAGTTCCAAAAAAAGAGCCATAATTGGCAGCACTGGCTACCAAAAAGTTATGATTCCCAAAAAAGTTATAGTTCCAAAAAAAAGACTCATAACTGGCTGCACTGGCTACCAAAAAGTTATGATTCCAAAATATTCCAAACAAAAAAGTTATGATTCCCAAAAAAGTTATAGTTCCAAAAAAAGAATCATAACTTATGATTTTTTCCAAACAGATGCATAGCCTAAATCTAACAAAAAGCCTTCAAAATCAATTGTGTTTGCTAGTTTTGAGCTATGTGTTTTAGTGAAAAACCTAGATTTACAGAGCCCCAAACTAGCAAACACCTTTGATTTTGAAAGGTTTTTGATAGTTTTTGGCTATGTTTTTTGAAAAAAGAATCATAAGTTATGGTTCCTTTTTTTGGAACTATAACTTTTTTTGGAACCATAACTTTTTGGTAGCCAGTGCAGCGAGTTATGGTTCTTTTTTTGGAACTATAACTTATTTTTTGGAATCATAACTTTTTGGTAGCCAGTGCAGCGAGTTATGGTTCTTTTTTTGGAACTATAACTTTTTTTGGAATCATAACTTTTTGGTAGCCAGCGCTGCCAGGCATGGTTCTTTTTTGAATTTTTTTGAATCGGAATATATACTAGCTTTTGCTTTGGAATTACAATCTTGTTTGTAGCCAGCGCTGCCAGTTATGGTTCCTTGTTTTTAACTATAGCTTGAGGGCGATGAAAATACTTAGTGGTGGACTTCTGAGCTTGCTTTGCATCGCGGATGACTTTCCCGCGCTCGCGAGGTCGCGCGCTTCTTTGGCCGTGGATCAAAAATACTTCGTTTCCGGAATATCGGAAAACGAGACTCTGCGACCCTCGGATGGCGAGCGGGTGGTTCCCGGTGCGCGGTCAGCCTTCTTAAGGACAGCTCGACATGGTGTTCGTGACCGTGCTCGGGAGGACCACGTCCTTGTGCTCTGTTCCGTCTCCTTTTTGACTGCTGAGGACGACGAGGCAGCTGCTGAGGATTGATCCGGAATATCGGATTCTTCCTTCTTTACAGTGCCTTTCTTGACCCAAGTTCCTTTCTGCCTGGCTTCCGCGAGATCGTCCATCATGGTCTCATCTAAGGCGTTTATGACCTGAATATCGTCGTCGTCTTCCGCCGGAATATCGGCGTCGACGTCCATCTCATCATCTTCATCATCTGGGTTGATCAGGTCTTCGCCTTCTTCCTCTGTGGTCTCGGACAAGGACCTCTTCTTAAGACGGCGTAGGTTGGTCTCCGAGTCCTTCCACTCATCATCGACGCTGAGGAAGTTGAGCCATGTTTCGGCGAAAAGCTTAGTCTGGCCATGAAGCTGGTGGCTTTCGAGTTTTTCAACGGCTTCATCTCGCCAAGCTTCGACCTCGCGGTTCTTAACGTTCTTAAACGCCAGCTTTCGCGTCTCGGCCTTAAACTTATCGTGGCCCTTGCCCACAAGTCGGAGTACCTCGCAGTAGAGCTGGGAATAGAAACGAAGGTACACCTCATCAGGCACCGACATTGCGGGCGTGGATGTCGGAACGTCCCATAACTTGGTAGACACACAGCAGTTGTTCCGAACATCCCACGCGAGGCTGAATAGACCGGACGGAATAACGTCCTTGGTCAAATAGTATCCGTTCTTGCTCAGGCAGAATCGTTCCATAAGCTCTGGATGCTGTTCCAGCGTTGCCGTCGAAAGCACGAGTACGACTTTCGCAGTTGGCCGAATATGCTCATGTGAAAGGAGAAGGCCATTGATCGGCAAAAAGTGATTCATGTTGCATTGCTTATTGCCGGCGATATTGCCGCCTCCAGGTGGCTGGAAACAGCTTGGACAAAAACATGCGCGGCCTTGAATTGCTTATACAAATCGGCAAGTTCTTTGCGGTCCTCGGCCGTCATACTGGCTGGATGGATCCAGGCCTCAGGGCTTCCAATAAGTTTCTCGCCCTTGTTGTAATCGGAAGTGCTCAAGATGCCGATCTGGTACCTGCCTTTCTGATTAAACATAATGGTAAAGGCTAGCGGGAGCAGCATGTTCACGCGCTCAACAGAATGTTCGCACCATTTCTGGAGCTGAGCAGGTATGAGTCCAGAGGCTTAGCATCTTCCTGAACCGTGCCCCAGCCATTAGCTCAAAAACCGTGAGTGACTTGTCAGCATGTGTCCATCCGGAATGTCGGAGAATAAAGCTGAGCTCACGCGAAATCTTGTCGTACAATTCACTCTCGAAGATACGGTTTAGAGCTTCATTGCTGATCTTGAAGAAACCGGGCCAGATCATCCGCAAACAGTAAACAAAACAAGAGCCGACTCCGAAGTCGGGACGATCAAATGCTGAGTCCATTCCGCTGGGGCAAGGTCCTGCGTCACGGCCTTTTCCTTTGCCTTTACCCTAGGCCGGAATGTCGGCCTTCGGCGTTGCGTGATTCG